TCTCAAAGGACTATGCATATAAAAGCCAAGGATTACTGTTATTTTCTGATGATATACTTATACTAAAATAGACTATCCAGAATACAGTTGAAAAGATGTGATGAATTTTTTTTTTTTTTTTTTTTAGGTAAAAGGATTGGTGTTAGAAAATCTGGGTTCCAGTCCTATAGCTTTTGGGTAAGCTACCTCTTGAGTCACTACTTTCTGGCATGTAGAATGGGAATGACTGCTCATGTTAGAAGGATTACATCAGGAAATGTATCTAAATTCCCTGTCATTGGTTCTGGCACCTAACAGGCAATCAGTGCCTGGCAGTTGTTTTATTACATTGTAACAGAAGGCATAAGGTATACATACCAGTATCTCTGTCACTTTGCTCAACTGTGTGTTTTAAGATGGCTTGCAATTGGATCCAGAGACTCAAAAAAGAAAGAAAGAAAAAAAAAAAGAATTGAGATTATTAACATGAGAAATGGAAATTTTTTACTTATAACTGAAACAAAAGATATCTGTGACTGAGAGGATAATGGGGAGCATTTTGAGAATGTTTACCCCAACACTAATTTATTCTCAATAAATATAATAATGAGCATTCGTGGCAATTAGAATTACAGAGTTGAAATTTAAAAACCCACGTGTGTTTTATTTATTCAGAACAGTTCAACCTGAATTGAGCTCAAGTCTCCACTATTGCTACCAAAGAAGAAAAGTTCTTCTATGGACATTTAGAGTGTGAAGCACCTTACTACTACGGAGGAGGAAGATGGAGAGAGCACAGGTAGAGCAAATGCTTAACTCTATTAGTTTGGATTGTCACTTCTTACTCACTTTTTAAATCCACATTAAACTTATTTTCCTGGCAATGCCTTCTACTCGGAAGTTTTAAAAGTAGCCCTTGCTACAAAAGGTAATATAGAAATGTATCCTCTGTAGCAGGGGTGGATAATAAGCTCCAGGACCAAATCTGGACCTCCACCTATTTTTGCGGATGAAGTTTTACTGGTAAACAGTCACGCTCACTCATTTACATATCACCTATGGCTGCTTTCACACCATAACAGCAGAGTTAAGGGGTTTTGATAGAGACTATACGGACTACAAAGTCTAAACTATTTACTATCTGAACTTTTACAGAAAAGTTTGTCAAAATCTTCTTGAGAGGAAAATAAATCTAGCATTTGTCAATGTCAAAGCCTACTATATGCCATGTCCTTCATCCATGTTATTTTAATCAAAACCACATTATAAAAATTTTTTTAATGATTTTTAACTTGCCCGTAAGTGTTGCAGATACAGCAATAATCAGTAAGACACAGTCACTACCAGTTTATGTTATAGAGATGGGTAAATGTGATGACACTTAATATGAACTGTAGAATGCTATAGACTCATGTAGTTAGAAGATCCAGTTGATGTGGTCATGCAACACAATATAACTTTGAGATAAATATTAAATATTCCTACCCCCCATTTTAACAATAAAGAAACTGGGATTCAGAGAGGTTGAGAAACTTGCCCAAAGTCAGGTAGCTAAAACATCAAAGTTGAATTAAAAAAAAATACATACTCACACACATATACATACACAAGATATTTCTTTTCTTTTCTTTTTTTTAAATTATGTATTTGACAGAGATAGAGAAAACACAAGCAGGGAGAGCAGCAGAGGGAGAGAGAGAAGCAGGCTCTCTGTGGAGCAGGGAGCCTAATGTGGGGCTCAATCCCAGTACCCTGGGACCATGACCAGAGCCTAAGGCAGACATTTAACCTACTGAGCCATCCAGGTGCCCCCACACATATTTCTAACTAGAAACCCATGCTCATTGCTCAACTGACACGGTGCTTCTGGAGTGTGTCTTAGAATTGCTATCTCCCTAAGTGTCTTCCTTCTTATCTGTCCTGCCTTATCCCATTTTCTGATTTCAGGAAAATTTCTAGAATTCTGATCACTTTTTTGGCATGGTACCATTCCTTAAGTCCATTTTCTCTTTGGACCCATGCTATTCTAGTGCCTGGCCCATCTGACTTAATGTTCTCACCAGTATCTCCTTTAGGTGCCTTGATGTGAGGTTTCTCAGGATCCCTGGCTCTCATCTGACCACATCATTTCTACTCTCAGATTGTCCCTCAGTATTCCTGACCAAAAGAACCCATGATCCCCCATTAGTCAATCACTTTGGATCTAATGATAAACAAACTGTGAATAACTCCAGTCAATTTAACATTGGGATCCAGACGGATACTGCTGTGTCCCGTCTTGCCTAGTACGTCAGCAATTTTACAAGGAAAGATACATTAAAGCACTGTAAGGAAGACCCTTGCACATGGACTCAGTAAACCTGTGTTTAGGTCTTACCTCTATGACTGTTTTTTTCTCATTTGTGAAATTCAGATAATTATAGGTATCTTACAGACTTACTGTGAAGTTAAAATGAGCCAAGTTTTTTGATGGCACTTTGTATAAATATAGGTAATTACACATATATAGGGTGATGGTATTAATGTTAATTTTACTATTAGGTATTGTGTAAATGCATTTAAACTGTCATGCTAATAATTTAATATTACTGTGGGATAAAGAGGACAAAAATAAGAACATGGGAGATTAGAAGCAAAATATGAATACAAAGTACTGTTTCAGGAAAAAACAGAGGCAGAGCATAACCTGGAGGACCAACAAGACAAATGCCAGAAGACAGGTAATCTATGGAAAAACCAGACACAAAAGACAACAGAAACCCCATGCTTTACTCCACCTGAGGACTTAGAAATTGCTTCTCTAACTCAAAGGAACTGGATGCTTCCTTCTTCTTAATATATATTTTATTGTTTATAAAATCTAGTATGTTTTACACATAATTTTTCATTTTCTTCTTTTTTATTATTAGTTTTCATAAAACAAAAGTGTACAGATTGATGGCAAATGGATGTGGGTTCCTTTTGGAGGTGGTGAGGGTTTATGTGGTGAGGGTTTATGACTGAATATGAATATACTAGGAAACTCCGAGTTGTAAACTTTATACTGATCCACAGTGGTAGTCATTGTGCAACTAACCAAACATGTGCAGTGGTTTACCTCTCTAAGCACATGGGAGGGTGGATCTCCCACTCCAACTTTGGAATTAGCTTGCCAAGGTGACTTACTTTGGCCAGTGAACTATGAATGGGGGTGCCATGAGTCACTTAAAGACGGAGGGTTTATGAGCCACTATGTGACTGGACACATTTCATGTTCCACTTAAGTCTCCATCAGGCTGTGCCTCATCTCACCCCTGTTGTCCCTAAGAGGGAATCAAACCTTTTCTTTAACCCACTGAAACACTGGTGGTGTTTGTTACCTAGCATAACTTAGCCAATCCTGAATGTTAAATCTAACCTGTCATAAATGACACTGAGAAACTCCAAGCCTTCCCTACAGAAGAATTTGCAACGGCAAGCTCGCCACATATGAGGAGCAGGTCAACATATAGGCAGATCCAGTAATAATTTTAGAAAGGACAAAAAGTGAGTGTTTTCAATGTCTTTTCTAAATTTCATCAGTTAAATAAGCCACTCCTCCCTGGAGGAGTAGGGAGGACAAAGAAAGACCATGATTTGTTGAAAAGTTCCATTATGGACACATGATTCTATGGGAATGGAGGTTCTTCTTGAGTAAGAGGGTAATTCACTTAAACTCCCCAATAGTATTTGAGTTCTCCAGTAAAAAGTGTTGCAGCTCTATACCATCATCCTCCCTCCATCCTTTCTTCTCTTTCTACTCAGGTTGTGTGGATTAAGTGAGGTGATGTATGTGAAATGCTCTGTGAATTGCAAACTGCTACATTAATATTAGTTATGATCTTCCATTCTGTGAAATGAATACAACATTCTCTGCCCTGTTTATCTCCCACAGTTGTACAGAATCCCACTCAGATGGGAGATGAAAGTAACATCACTTCATAAATTTTAAATACTCACATGTATCTAAGCCATTAGTATTATTTTAATATGTGTTCTTATCAATAATGCATGTATTTATTTACTACCAGGCTCTAAAACTTTCTAGAACTCTAATGTTGAACTAATGACTCTTCCTCTGATAAAAGTTTCCCTTTACTAAAGAATGGAAAGAAGTATGGTATCTACCTGTTAAAGACTAAATGAAAATTGCTTTGCAGAGTTTGGAATTTTGTCCCCCATAATATGTAATTGTTAGTGTTATCCTCATCTTAGAAGGTCTATAAGGTAGCACCTCATGGACACTATTTCATTCACGTTTGGCTGGGAGATGATCTGATTACCTGGGATAAGTCAGGGTTAAATGTGAAAAGGAACACTTTTTTTTTTTTTTTTAAATCGGGCTTACACCAACATGGAGCCCAACTTAGGGCCTGAAGTCACAACCCTGATGTCAAGACCCAAGCTGAGATCAAGAGTCAGATACCTAACCAACTGAGCCCTGAGAACACTATCTCTCAAATATGGATTTAATCTACATGCCTCAAACCAGCTTTTGTCAGTAGTAACAGTGAGGCACTGATCTCTGTTTATGAAGGTCTATTATTTTTACCTATTAGTCTTCAAGTTTCAACATGAGGTTTGGCCTCTGAGAGCCTACAGTGTTCAGAGGCCCTCTGCCAACCCTCGTTAGACAACATAAGAGATAATTAGACCCTTTTTTTTTTTTGCCTCAAACTACTTTTTATTTGCAACTACATGATTTCACACAATTCTTCTGAACAATGACATAAAATAGATTTCCTGTGTATAAATAACTTACATACTCTCCATAAAGTAAATGCTCAAAGGTGCTAGAACAGATCGTCTGCTGCTACAGTGTTCTCGTATCCAACAGAGTTGATGCACAATATATAAATACTCAAGTCCAATATTAAAAACTCAGGCACTTGACTAACTTTAATAAAGTTTCTCAAACTATATCAATATATCTAAAGTGCATATATATTTTTTAAGAAAGATTATTATCAATAACTTTTCTATAAAAATAAGTTTGATGGTTTGGCCCATCTAACTTTACTACTATGAGTATGAACTTTTAACTTTTAATGTGGTCAGCCTTATTCTACCTTCTCTCAACACTGACACCAACAGAATCAAAAGCAGCTAGTGAGGTGCTAACATGTGAGGATTAATCCAGTGATTCCGGTCACAATGCATTCCAGGAGGAGGTACCCATGTTACTGGAATTGGGCGATACGGTTTATTCTTTCTTCCCTGATTTGGATAACCAAATGGAATAGGAGGAGGATAGTGATTCTGATGACCATTCCCTCGGTACATTCCTGGCTTTTTTCTGGGTAAAGGGTGCCATAATGGAAGAGGTGGGAACACCAATTCTGAAATCTAGTACACAGGGCTTGGGGTCGCAGTCATAGAACGGGTTTCACTTCTACTTCCTTACTTGTTTCTTCATCTGAAGAAGAGGATCCTGAATGATAATCAGAGGTAACCTTATCAAGGGCCCTGGTAACTTTCTTGGAGATTTCATCCTTGTTCTCATCCTCATTTTCAAAGCTGGCAACAATGAATGCATTGTTTTTCTCTCCATACCGACAGCACACCTCACATGGATCCACCCACAGAGTGAGTTCCTTTGGTAAGCCTAGATCACTGTACAAGATGCAGCTGTTCTCACAGGCTTTCAGGACATCAGGATCAACTCTCTGAAACTTATTGACACGAATGCATCTGTAGGCCTGTCCTTTTGATGGTTTTTCTGGATACCAGTGATTTTTATATTTTTCTTGAAGTATAAGAGTCAATTTCTCAGCAAACCTTTCAACTGCCTCTTTTTTCAACTTGTCATGTTTTCGAACTAGCCTTGTGAAAAAGAAGACAACAGCAGCAATTTCGTTCTTCATCTTTCCCGCCGCCGCCGCCGCCCTGGGGTCGCAGATTTGGCGGTCCCGACCGTCTCCGGGCCGGGAACCGAGGGCGCCGCCTCAGCGGGCCGGCGCTCGGCGACAGCGAGCGCAGCGAGCCTAGTTCGGAGCGTGTGAGACCCTTTCTTTAGTTCACTGGAATGTTGGTGTTTCTTGTTACATAGCATAACCTTGCTCATTCTAACTAATAAATCTATCAAGTTATAGGTCAAGCTGGGTAATTTAAAGCGTCCCCTACAGAAGGTCTGCTTTGACAAGAGTAGAGGAAAGAAGTGTTGCTTATTGACTTCCTAAACTCCCAAAACTTTTGTTAATAGATATGTCTGAAATGACTCAGAGTTAATGCTTTGAGTTAATGCTCAGAGTTAATTGATACATTGCCATTTGCAGCACAAAAGCCTACTTAGACTTCTTAGTAAAGATAATGACAAGCAAAAGAGAAGGAAGAAAGATAGGACAGAGAAAATAAATCAGTGTGGGTAATTGTAAGGCTGATTGCTGCATGAGGTAGTTTTCAGTTCCATGTGTCATATTTGGCAGCCATGGGTCGCACATTACTGAAGCTGGATTTCTTTACAACAAAGGGAAGTAAAACCAACTCTATCAAAATGCACCTGCCCCTCTTGCCATCACCAAATGAAAAGAAATTAGACTGACTAATCTGCACCTCTTTTTTGGGTTTAACATCATTAGAGTTTGGGTTTTCATTTAAATTGAGACAAGGGTCAAGAAGAATGTTGCATTTTCATCTTTTTTTCTGAGGAAAACCCTGCAATTTTGAAGACAGATAAAATGAAGCACATATAAGACATGGTGAGAGCCTCACTACCTTCAGAAACGAGCCTAGATGCGATTGAGAAAACAGTCAAGATTTGAGCATTAAACCAGAAAGTCTCCCCTGAATTCATGTTCTAGATGCAAAAAGTAAATATGACAATGGGAGCTTTCTTAAATTAGAGCCACATTATCATTAAGGATATGGAAAGATAGATGGGTCTAACATTTGTTGAACACATACTATGTGACAGGAATTGTAGCTCGTGCCTGTAAGCCTCACTTTCCCAATAATTTTATACAGCACTTGTTATTGGATAGATGTCTGTCAGGTGTTTTACATGCACCATCTCATTTAATTTTAACTACAAGTCTGAGTAGATTTTCTCCTGTTTTCAGATGAGGAAAGACCAAGCTCAGAAAAGTTAAGTGAACCATAACAGCTAGTCAGCCAGCTAGTGAGTTGGGAATACTGAGATTTGAATTCCAATCTGGTTGATATTAAAGCTCAGGCAATGTCCACAATGCTGAACCATCCCCTGGAGGTTTCTAGTGTCTTCTTCTGCAGCAGGGATAAAGCTCTTCTGCAGGGACCCTCTGCTAATCTACCATGTATACTGGGGCTAACGGTGTCTCACAAAACCTGAATTCCATAGGATGTTTCCTTGAGTTGGAACAGAATCAGATTCTTTGCAACTTCTACTCATTGACACTAATGAAGTCTTCTGAAACAACACAGAACAACAGTATTTCTTCATTGGAAATAGCAATTTAGTTGCTATTCAATCTTCATTAGAATGTTTCCTGACCCCTTTCATCATTAGTTCAATGTTTCTTTAAATGTGGCTGCTGTAAAGGGACCATTGCGTGTTTTGGATAGAGAAATGTGCCCATTTGGATCTCAATCACTCCCTAGTACAACATTCAGATTTAAAAGTTTCACTGTAAGTTTCATAAAACAAATTCTCTACCACATAAGACTTCTCTGTTTTTAATCATTTGCATTTCCCAATTGCTGGAGAAGTGATATCAGCTGTAGTGAAAAAAATGACATTTCATTGACACACAGTGGACAATAAAATGACATAATTATGTCCAACACGCATGAATATTTTAGAACTATGCCCGGAGAATGTTAAATAAATCTCTTAAAATTCTGCAACTGCAGCAAGCTTTTGGTTCTCCTATTCCACTCTACTTTCTGTTCATTGGCTTTTAAAGGAATTTTGTCAGTAGAATCATGAGGGCTTTTCCTTATATTTTGTCATCTATCCCATTTCTGTCATTCTCTAAGGAGCTCAATGTATTTATCCCTTTGACTTCCATGGATTATTTATTAAACACATTTTTTTAACTTGTTAATTTTAAAATTTACAGTTTTGTTTTCTCCCACTTAGAGAAAGCAACATTATTGTTTAAGAAGTGTGCAAAAATACAGGGATGTTTCTTTGTCTTTACTTTTTTTCCTTAATTTTTATTCTTATTGTACACTACATGACCACTGCAACCTAAGGGGTCTATCTATACCTCCAGCTTTTTTGCAGTGTCTGACATGCTGAAGACCCATAAAAGCTGGTAAAGAGACAGATCTCTGGGAACTCCAATCGGTTATAGAAATGATTCTTGCATAAGAGACAGGATGGAGCAGAGACATCAGCCTTTTAAATTCTAAGATTCAATAATTTGCAAAAGAATGGAACTTGGGCAGTGTAAGATCATCTTATCAGTAACTCCTGAAGGCTCCCCACCATCCTTTAAATACAGTTTAAAAGTGTGTGGCAACATTTACGGTGTGAGGGATTAGCAGACCTCTGCCTGTGTCTTCACCCCAACCACCCTCTTACTTGTTCCTGCCACATCACCCCCATTGGCTTTATTTCGGAATCCCCAAATGAGCTGAACTTTTTGTGCATCAGAGTATTTTTTTCTACTTTTCTGCTTGGAATGCTTCTTTCCCCACTTGGGTAATTTCCTCAGTCATAAACTCTCGCTTAAATGTCATTCTCTTAAGGAGGCCTTCCTTGTGTATCCCCAGCACAAAACCAAGTACCCAGTGGTCCTTGATACTAATAAGCTTAATTATTAAGCAATTGCCACCCACAGTGTACATTATCTATATTTGACTAAGTGGGAGACAAAAAATAAGACGTGAAGTTGAAGAAGCTTTATGTTAAGCCCAAAAGCAAAAAAAAGTCTCAGCTTCTTTGATGAAATGATGATACCTATTTGTTATATACACATAACATCCTTTGTGAGGAGGAGCTAATTTCCTTTTCTTCTTTTTAAATAATGGCTCCTGTTTTTTGTTTGTTTTTATTATGTTCAGTTAGCCAACATACAGTACATAATTAGAATTTCTTCTTTCATGAAATTTAGAGTAGATGAAATTTGGGATACACGCCAATGAGTATGAGATTGCATATCCCTTCATGCAACAGATCTAGCCTTTATGACTACGTTTAAATCTGTGACTGGTACTTGGAATAGCACCATGATGGGATGGTTGGGTTTGGTCTCATTACTCAAAGGAAAGTAGTAGTGATGAGAATTTGCATGTACTTCATCAAAGAGATGGGATGTGGAGGAGCCAGCTAGGATAAAATTGTGCTGAAGTTCTGGCCTCTGGATTTTTCTTTATGAAATGCAAATCACTCAAAGGGAAGGGCAGTGCCAGTATCCAAAGGGACAAGGAAAGAGCTAAGTGTCACAATCCTCATCTTCATGATGGGATTGGCCGTAACCTCAAGGGGAGGCTGCCAGTCCAGGGTTCAGGTTTGGATGATATACTATACTGATCAGCCAGATGAGCCCTACCTTATTCCTCAAAGAAAAGGCATTCTAGGGGTGCCTGGGTGGCTCAGTGGGTTAAAGCCTCTGCCTTCGGCTCAGGCCATGATTCCAGGGTCCTGGGATCGAGTCCTACAATGGGCTCTCTGCTTGGCAGGTAGCCTGCTTCCCTTCCTCTCTCTCTCTCTGCCTGCCTCTCTGCCTACTTGTGATCTCTGTCTATCAAATAAATAAATAAAATCTTTAAAAAAAGAAAAGAAAAGAAAAGGCATTCTACAGGTATAGAGTTAGACAACATCAGCTCATGTCTATGATCGAGCCAGGACAGATATGATATACTGAGCAAATAAACAACCCCCAAGTTTTAGAGGCCGAAAATAACACAGGTTTCTTTCTTTCTTTCTCACAATACATGTCCATGCAGGGCAACAGAGTGCTCTGTCATTATAGTCAATTAGGGACCCTGGCTGATGGAGAACACATCCCTACATATGCTTCCAGGTTTACCGAACACTGCGGTGTCTGACACTGCCATGATAATTAAATATGTCTCAAAATGGCACACAGCTTATCTGCTTACATTTTAGGGGGTCAAATCCAGTTATGTGACAACATCTAACTCAAAGAAGGTAGGGAAGTATAATTTTCCCACGTGCCAAGAAGGGAGAAAATCTGGAATTTTTTTTAACAGACTTAATAATTACTACAATCTGCTTTTCTAATAGCAAACATATATATATATATATATATATATATATAAAACGTTATATTTACATCACTAAATTAGGAGAAGTCTTCAGACCTATAAATGTAAATGAATAATCATGCTTTGGTAATATAAGCATTGGTAAATATTAATGTTCTATATATATGTTTTACATGTTCAAATGTTTTATGTATTACTATATTATATAATATATATAGTTAAAAATTATATATAACATATATATATAATATATATATAAAACTTCTCCTTCCTGCTTATAAAATATCCATTCCCACACCACCAAAAAAAAAAGAACTCAAGAGGTGAACTCAAGAACTTGAGGCAAGTCATCCACTCATAAATCAGCTTGAAGTCCAGACTCCTGAATAGTTCCCTGCTCTTTCTTTATCAAGTCTAGAGGTGATTGTTTTTGGTTCAGAGATGAATTACAAAACTCAACTGAAATCCCATTTTATAAGCCAATATCCAATAAAATAACATGCACAGCATTACCATAATAAATACCCTCTATCATAAATAGAGGAGACACAATAGGTGGTCTATCACAACTACGAAATCCTACTAGAGAGATGTGACGAGGTTTCCTCTGGGAGTACAAAAGTTCCCAGATTAGTGGATTAGTGTTCCATTCTGTTCCCAGGTGAGTCCTCTATTCCTTTGCTTTCTTTGGCCCATGATACTGTCATGGTCCATTTCCTGTTCATAGAAATGGGATTCTTTCATTTCCATTAACTTCCTTGGCCACACCAAAAAATGGGCATTGGAGAACATGCCCTATGCAGTGGTTGAGCATCTTTCTCAGTTTCTTTGCTGCTTAGGAGT